AAAATCTCCCCTTCCCCCCCCCCCCCGAATCACTGGGTGGCTCAGATCCCTCTCAGGGGCTGCACTGGTGGTGGCTCAGCTCTGGCACTGAGGGGAAGCAGAGCTCAGGGAAGGTGGCTTTTGCTTGCTTGGCGCCTTCTGTCTATTAACAAGCAACAGCAGCCATGTCTAAGCGTGCCAGAGAGGGTGGAGCGGGAGGGTTCTCTGCACTCTTAGCGCTCCTTTATGACGCACCTGTGCCGTCCACTTTCACCACTTGGCTTCTGTCCCCAGCAAGTCAGTCCTGCAGAGTCTTGCAACAGGAGGCTGGCACCTACCATGCATGTATGTGGGTGTGTATGTATGTGTGGGTACGTGTGTGCACTCACGCATGTGTGCCTGGTGGAAACACAAGCAGAGAGGAGCAGTGGGAAATTAAGAAGGCGTCTCTCTCTCCCTCTGCTGGACTTGGCGGCTCCTCTCTCTCTGTCTCCTGGTCTCTGTCTCTCTCACTCTGGTTCACACAATTCTGCATTGTAAATTTCTGGCCCGTCTCCTAGTAGATTCTCGGGTGGCCAGTCTGGAGTGGGATGGGGGCTTAACAGATGACTTCACTTCCCCTATCCTCAAGAAATGACCAGGCAATACCTGGCAGTTGCTGCAAGCTGCAGGGGTCTCCTCTCTGCTCTCTGCACAGTTGTTGCCCCTGATGATTCAGGAGTCTGGCCTGCTTTCCAGGGGTGGATAGATTCCTGCTTCTTTGCCTGCTAGCTGCTGGCCTCAGTGAAGCTTGGATGTTCTGTTTCAGGAGCCCCCTTGCTAACGCATCTGTTGCTAGCAAGGGTCTGTCGCCTTCCAGTCCCTGGGCCCCCTGCAGATTGGAATTGATGCAGGATTTGTGAATACCGTGCAGAGAGCCTGTTTTCTGTCTCTTTATGCTGATGCAAGAGGGTTTTGTTGTGAACAGATTCTGGGGCTGTCGGGGCAGTGCTATGAGTGTCCCTCAGCCAATGACGCTCCAATGGGACAGCGTGGGGGCTGTTGGGAGGGGGCAGGGGATTGCTTTGATGTGTAGGGTGTTGCATGTGTATTTTCTTCCTGCTGAAGCGCTGTAGCTTAGACGTCTTTCCTTTTGCCTTTTTGCAGTCACTGTGAGCCTTGCTCAGAGAGGAGAAAGCACTTGTTTGTACAAGATCCCCAGACCTGTAAATGTTCCTGCAAAAACACAGATTCACGTTGCAAATCGAGGCAGCTTGAGTTAAACGAGCGCACTTGCAGGTTTGTGTCCTGAAGGATGAAAGAGAAACACACAAAGAGAGAGAGAGAGAGAGAGAGAGAGAAAGAGGGGGGAGCTTGCTTTCTGCTGGCTTCTGGCACCATTGCTCTGTGATCACTCCTTTCCTCTGTACTTTGGGGGCTGGAGGGCTGAGGGGTAACTAGGATGCATTTACTCTTTGCCAAATGTTTGCTGTGAGCTTGTGTGTGTGCTTGTCAGGACTGGATGAGATGCTCTGACAGCTGAGGTGTTTGTGCTCAAGGGGTCCTCTCATAGAACAAGATGGTGGCTTTTGGGTTGCTGTGTTAATCAGGGAAGGAGCCTGGAGCTCTGTATGCTTCACACTGGATTCCCTTTGTGGAGAGAACAAGAAGAGCCCCTTTTCTTCAGAGGAAATGTAGCCCCTCTCCTCTGGGGAGAGAAAAGCCAAACCCCTCCCTGCAACCCCCTAGCATTTTTCTGCCCTCCTGCTCCTAAAACCCAGGGGGGCACTCTTGTAGTGCACTTTGCACACAATATGCCTCACATCCACTAACTGTTAATGGCACATTTCTGTTTGAGGCCTATACTCTGTGCTGTGCCCCACACCATGGTGCCTGTTTATAGGATATGCAAGGCAGAGGGTCCCTTCTTTAGTCTGCCTATGAGAACCAGGTACAGAGAGACTGTGTTCATGGCCTGTTTAGTGACCTACACTGCCTGTATATATCTCTGTGTGTTTGCTTTTGTGCATCTCCATAGAGAAACATGACTAGGAACAGTGGGCCTGGTCCTTGTGTCGATCAGTACGGCTTCACTGAATTGTGGGGAGCTATGCTGCTTTACATTGGCTGAAGATCTGGCTTTGCATGCATGTGTGTAACGTGTGAGATCATCTGTATGTGAGATCATCTATATATATATATATATATATATATA